CCCCATCTTTCGTTTTTATTTATTTTTATTATTTTTTAATTCGGAAATTCGTAGGCACTCATCATCCACCCCTGCTTCTTCTTCTTCTTCTTCTTCTTCTTCTTCTTCTTTTTCTTCTTCTTCTCTGCTTCTACTCCTTCTCTGCTTCTTCTCTTCCTAATCATCCACCCCATCTTCTTCATTTTCTTCTTCTTCTTCTTCTTCTTCTTCTTCTTCTTCTTCTTCTTCTTCTTCTTACCACCATCACCCACCCCTTCTTCTTCTTCTTCCATAGTCTTCTTGACGACCAGCGCGGGTAATCGGGGACCATTCGTGCCCAATACTAGTGAAGCTAGAGAGGAACTGCTGAGGAAGTCCGATGTTTGGAAATGGGTGGACCGAGGGCAGAAATTGTTGGGCGGTATGTCACATGGCAACTGGAGATTGCGATCCAGATTGTGCAACGAGTTCATTGGAACAGCGTCAAAAGAGGTGAAGCACTTTGTTGAATCGTCAGAAGTTGCTCGCTGCAAGCACAGCACCGGGGAGATTGCTGTTGCGGTCCAGAAGTGTCACCCGTCACAAAAAATCTGGCCAGTGATGATGAGGAAATTGAATAAGTATTACAGGACGCAAGGCCGTCCGCCGATCGCGGAGGATCCCGTGGATTTGGACCCCGATAACCGCACGGGGGGGGAGGGTGGTCATGACACACCTTCGTCAGGGGCAGAATGCAGGGCAAATCCGACGTCGGAGGAAAGAAGTGGCATTGGTTTCGGATCGACCTCCATCGGGAACAAAGCAGCCCCCACTTGCACGGATGATGAGATGCCATCAGAGATTGCCGAGCACTTGCGGGGTCCCATACTGGCTTCCGTTCGCCCACCACTGATTTCCTCTGCCGGTGTGGGGCGGCAGCAAACATCCATGGTCGCTTTTGTCGTGGATGAGCTCCAAAAAGAGTTTGACCAGGCGATCGCCTCATTCTTCTTCGAGGACGCCATTGGATTGAACACTGCAAGATAGACTTCTATAAGAGCATGGAGAGGATCATGAACAAGGCGGCTAGGTCACAGAAAATATTGAAACTGCCGAGGTACAACTTTTTTAGGGCGACGGCCCTGTCCGCGGAGTACAAAACTGTGGATGCAGATTTGGAGAAGATCCGTGACCCATGGGATGTTATAGACCTCACATCGATGACGGATGGTACGACAACGACCAGCAACAGGCCCGGTCATGAATTGCATTCTGGTCGGGGATTCGGGGGTTGTCATGGTGAAGAGTGTTGTTGATATGGAGGGGAAAGACAAGCCGGCTCCGACTTTGGCGAGGATGTGGGAGGAGGTCATCAGGGAGTTGGGGGTGCACAGGGTCAATGGCATATGCACCGACTCGGCGCAGGTGAACATATCCCCAAGGAAAATACTAGCTGACCACGACGACCCGGCAATCATGAGCATTCATTGGGTGCCATGTGCATGCCATGTGTGTAACTTGCTCATGTGCGACAACCTACGTGACACCCTAGGCCGCGGATTGGAGAGGTGATTTTGCAGGGCAGGGAGATCACCACCTTCATCAAGAGACATCAGAGAGCATTAGCAATGTTAAGGAGGGTCGGGAGGGAGTATAAGACACAGCTAGGCATCAAAGACGGTAGGCCGTTGGAGTTGATCCAACTAGGGGAAACGAGATTCGGCACAAACTTCCTCATGTTGCAAAGACTACGAGAGGCGGAGGCAGTGTTGATGGCAATTGTATCCCATGCATGCTGGGATGATTCCCCATGGGAGTGGACTGCAGTGACAAGGGTGCGAGCATGCATACGAGACCCGGCTTGGTGGTTGACCGTCGAGCGGGCATGCACTTTTCTTCAACCAGTTTATTCATTGATGAAGGACATGGACAGAGACGGGAGGATGGGGACGCAGGTGTGGTCTTTGTGGATCACGTTGGAGAAGAAGATGGTTGTTTTGCCCATGGATTGCGAGACAGGGGCGATCGTGATGAAGAAGGTGAAGGAACGTGTGCAGATGATGACTCTCCCTATGCATGCAGCAGCATGGATGTTGCACCCACTCCACAGATCGTCTAGATTAATCGACGACTTGGAGTCTGAAGAGATCGTGAACACTCTGGCACACTTTGTTGCGGTTTATACCAAAAATTTGAAGGAATACAAAGAGTGTTGGAGGTCCTTGGAAAGTTTTCATCACAAAGATCCGGAGTGGATTCGGACAAACTTAGAGGAGGCTTTGAGAGGCACTCACGTTTCACCGCCGCAATGGTGGTTAACATACGGGAAGAATCACAAGTCATTATAGAAGATTGCAGTCGTAGTACTAAGTATGTGGACAGCCGCCTCTCCATGCGAGAGGAAGTGGTCCACCTTCGACCTCATTCACACAAAGAGGAGAAATTTGTTGAGCCCGAAGAACTTGTGAATACTTGTCTTCATCCATTAGAACAAGAAGTTGTTGAAGATATCGAAGATGAAGATCAGGTTTGTTAACACCGAGCGACTGGAGTGGGAGACACTGGAGGACTTGGCTCCCTATGATGGCTTCATGCAAGACGGGGAGTACGACCTGGAGGAAGTGAAGAGGAGGGCCGCGAACTGGTCCAAACCTCATGGACGTAGTTCGAAGTCGATCAAATTTGACATTCGGGAGCTTGAGGAGGAGAGGGTGGACGACGGGGCATGGCTCCTTGATCTTTCTTACCGCCCTCGTTGTCTTACAAATCATGACCATGGGAAGACCGTTGTTGATGTTGACGACGAAGAGCCTAGCCATGACCGCGAGGACGATGACCAGTTGGCTCGAGTGGAACTCATTGACGGGCGGTTGACTAGGAGGTCTGGAGGTGGTTCATGTTCTTCCTCCCCGCGCGACCACATCACGACGCCAGAGGTCCTTGCATCTGGCGGGCGCTCGGCGGGCACTTCAACCTTGTTGACCGTTGGGGAGGGTATTCGTTCACGACGTCGGACTTCCACATTAGGTGGTGCAACTTCGCTGCAGAGGACCACCTCACTCTTGGGAGCACAACTCACCTGTCATCGGCGACCCACGCTCGAGGAGGAAGGCACCGCTTGTGGGACCACACAGGGGGGGTCGGCGCACGTCCCCGATAACAGTGATGTGGTGGATGCCGATGAGTTTGTTGGTGCAGACATGAACGGCCCCATTGTTGTTGCTTCGGTGGCGGCTGATGCGGTAATTGGTGCGCGTGGAGATGATCCGGTCGGTGAGTGTGGGGATGATCCGGTCAGTGCCACTGCTACGGATGGTGTTGTTGGTGCAGTCGACGATGATGCTGTTGGTGCAGACACGCAGACCGATGATGGTCTCATTGCGAGCGACGATGTGTTATCCACTCCGGATCCGGGGTTGCGATTGGGGGAGAGAATCACCTCCCTGTTGCCGCACATGGCCCTTATTGCCCCTCGTGGCTCTGCACAAGACTTTTATAAGCACCTGGCTTCGATGTCCCCAATGCGGACTGATGACGAGTCTAACACCCCTGATTGGGTCAGATTCACTGGACCCACCCCGCCCACTCTCCGGTTGAACGAGGACATTTGGCTGATCTCTGGGGAGGGCACACATGCCCAAGTTTACAGGAGGAGGACCCCGCCAATTCAGGATGGTGGAACGACCCCGCCACATGACATGAATGCACGACGTGCAACGGTCTCACCGCCCGACATTGACGAGAGCAAGGTGCACCAAGTGAAGAGTTTGGCGGTGAGAAAGAAGGGAGGGGAGAACAAGGAAAAGGAGGCAGCGGCACCCAAGACGAGAGGGAGAAGAAGGAACGAACGCAAGACTATCACGCCGCCCGAGACCTTGGAAGAAAAAAGTGTTGTTGCTCGACAGGCGAAGAGGAAGAAGGCTCGACGAGTGCAAAAGAAAGTCACGGCAGCCAATCGATCGCCGAAACGCGGACCACGGAAGAAAAGGAAACGTGGGCAAGAGGGCGATGAATCCAGTAGCAGCAGCTCTTGGCCTTTCTCGTCTTCGTCCCGATCAGGGTCGACAACATCGTCAACTGACACGAGTAGCAGTAATAAATGAAAGTGTGTTGTTCATGTGTGTGTGTGTGTGTGTGTGTGTGTGTGTGTGTGTGTGTGTATGTGTGTGTGTGTGTGTGTGTGTGTGTGTGTGAGATAGAGAGAGAGAGAGACTTATTCCACTTCTTCTTCTTTTTCTTCTTCTTCTTCTTCTTCTTCTTCTTCTTTTTTGTCGTCCTTTTCTTCTCCTCTTCGTCATCTTCTTTTTCGTCATCGTCTTCCTATTCTCCAGTCTCCTTCTTTTATAAGGTGGCCCATGTGGGCTAAAATCTTGCCTTAGTTTTTCAGACGTCGGAGACTTGGTTTATCTTCTTGTTCAACTTCCTGTTGAAGTAATGCTTTTTTGCAATTGAATTGAGCACCTCTGCGGATTTGGTTCATCTTCTTGCTCAACTTCCTGTGTTCCCCCCCCCCCCCCCTCCCGACGGACTTCCCAAACACCCTTGGGGCCTGGACCAAAACACCCTCCCCTCCCCACAACCCGAACACCCTGCCCCCGAGCACCACTGCAAAATGCAGCAAAATGCTGCAAAACGGTTCATTCCAGCAAGCCCCTCAAAACCCTCAAACAGCCCGTCAGGCGACCCACCCCAACCCCGCTTCGTAGACCCCAACCCCCACCCCACCCCACCCCACCCCGAACACAAAATGTCGACAACCTAAGTTTCTCAACGGATTTGGGTTGTACTCAGCAAGCGCAATACTGCCCCCAAATCGGAGAAAAAAAAAAAATCAAGGGAAGGCTGTTTTGTAACTTGTCGGCGGTCGGTGGTCGGGGGCGGCCGTCGGGGGGTGATGCAACCCTGGTGAAGTTATAAAAAAAAAGAGGATGCAAGTCACGTCAATTAATCAAAAAAAAAAAAAAAGTTACACATGTGTACCATTCAGCTACACCGGGTAGGTGTGTCCTCCCCATATAGGAGCTGATCCGACAACGCTAAACTTTAGTAATTACCATGCAAAAGTTGTATCCAACAGCTTTCCGGACTTTCTACAGCTCCCTGCTCTCCAGGATGACACCGCGAGCATGAATGGTCATGATTAAATAACCAAAACAACTGGCGCAGAAAGCTCTGCTGTTTTACAATGTGTCTCCCCCTACCACAAACGTTAGAGTCAATTTTCCATCTTTTCCTACAGAAACTCTGTCGCACAGCCCCTCTCTCTCTCTCTCTCTCCATATATATATATATATATATATCGTCACAAACAGAACTGCCCGGTAAACCGTAGGCAGAGAGAGAGAAGAGGACAACAAACGAGGGGTTGTGACAAACTGTTTCATCGGAGTTTCACCGACTCATCAGGAGGCTGAACCCTCAACAGTCTGCAGAATCCCCTCACTGATTACACTACAATATATATATATATATATTTATATATATATACAGGGTTACCTGACCGAACGTTCAGGGGCCCCCGGGATGGCCCCTGAACGTTCGGGAGTTTGGGGTCCCGTTCGGGGGCCGAACACCTTCAGGCTCGGCCCCCGCCAAACATTTTATCGGGGCCTAAACATGAGTTTTGTTTTCTGAAGTTTTTTTTGCGAGTTCTCTATGATGTAACCTACACGCTTATAAATTTTGAAGCCATTCTGCTACGTTAAACAAACATTCAAAATCCTCAAAGATGGGGGTGTCAAAATGTGCTCGCCCGCACACTATTTTGTTTTTTTTCACTCTTAACTTTTTGTTTTCACTTTATTTCGGGGCCTAAAAAAAATTATTATTTTTTGAAAACTTTTTAATGAGTTATTGATTGTAAATTTTCAGGGCATTTGTCAATGCCAAAAAATAATTAAAAATCGGCAAAGATGGCGGTGTCGAAAAGGTGCTAGCACACTCACTCGTTTTAATTCTCTTTTTATTTTTTCTTATTTTTATCATAGTGTTTATTTTATGTATTCGATTTTTAATTCAAATTTGAAAAAGAATTTGGATGTAGTGCCCAGGCAAATATTGTTTAGTTGATTTTTTTCCATAACATATTTGTTTTTCGGAGTTTTTTGAAAACGTTTTTTTTTTTTGTTTTTTTTTTTTTTTTTTAGGTCCGCGTTTAGCCCGAACGGTCGAACGCCTTCCGAAGGGGTCCTGTACGTTTGGGCGTTCGGGTCCAGGCGTTCGGCCCGTCCCGAACGCCGACAACCGTGTATATATATATATATATATATATCGTCACAAACAGAACTGCCCGGTAAACCGTAGGCAAAAAGAGAGAAGAGGACAACAAACGAGCGGCTGTGACAAACTGTTTCGTCGGAGTTTCACCGACTCATCAGGAGGCTGAACCCTCAACAGTCTGCAGAATCCCCCACTGATTACACTGTAAATAATAATATATATATAATATATATATATAATATATATATATATATATGTATAATTTATATATATATATATATATATATTGGACGGAGTATGGTCTACAATCATGTGAATTTCTTGATACACAGTGTTCATTGACTTTTCTCTTCTTGTGGGTTGGGAAAATTCACAACCACTTGACTTTTATGCTAGGTTACCAATGGTCCGAAGACCTGTCGTCTCCCCCGGACGTCTCCGTCACACGTCCGTGGTCCGGGTCGTCCGGGTTTCCGGACAACTATTTTTTTCGGGGGGGGAAAGTCAAAAAAAAAAAAAAAAAAAAAAAGG